CTTACACCAAAATTTCACTGAAAATAAGTTTGAAGCCTAGGGGCTTCAAACTAGGGCTTCACACCTCTATTTTTTATATTTTTAAATATACATCTTCTAAAATTAAATTAATTACATTTTATCAATTAATTGAATTTAAATGAAAATAAATTATTAAATAAAAAAATCAATAAAAATTAAATTAACAAAATAAGATTTGAGTAATAACAACAAAAATATAAAAAATTGTTATGAAGAAATTACTTATTATTCGAGCGACTAAAAATATCTTCATTTAAATTCGAGCTGTATAGTAGTAACATATTGCAAATTGAAACAATTCATTAAATAAAAAAATGTAGTCAATAAAAAAAAGTACGTTAAACTTTAAAAACAACAAAAAAATTACATTACTAAAAAAAATTTAAACAAAAAAATATTACATTAAACAAAAAATATAGAGTAAAAAAATTATGTTTGTGTATATTTTATTTTTTTAAAGAGAAAGAATATAAAGAGAAAAAAATATTTAGTCTTATGGCATTAATGTAATTTTTTTGTTGTTTTTTAATGGAGGGACCCGCACTATTTCTCTTCTCTCCCTGTTAAACTTTTGACGCACAAGGGATGAAGCCCCAAGGGGGCGGTGTTTGCTGCCCCTTTTGCGTTAAAAGGGGCCGTAACGCCCTGGGCGTTATAACCGGTTCCAGTGCTCTCACGATCTCCAATATTGTTCTTTGATCACTAATATCTTTATTTATATACAACTATATTTTATAAAAATTTGACATTTGAAAATTACGTTTCAATATTAAAGTTTTATCATAATACAATGTATTTTTTTTCATATATCAGAGTATCTACATAATTTTTCTCTCATTTGTAGAAGGGTAGATGCCTTTTGAAAAGAGAATACATAGCCAAAACTTTACCACCTACTCTTTTGCTAGCTTCTTCTAAGAATCTTAAATCTTTATCATCAATCCGTTGTCACATTGGTCTCGTTGAGAGGTTAGTTAGATGTGACAAAGAGTCTAAGATAGACTTATTCTTTTTTTGAAGTAAAATTTTATAAAAGAAACTATTTAACTCACAAAATTTTCTTTTCTCCTATTTCACAATTTCATCCTATACTTTTTACATTTCCAACATTTTTTTAAAAGAAATATATATAAGTTATTACTTTTCAAATTTTGTCAAGCTAAGTCACATGCACCTCATGGTACATTTCAAAAGAATAGATGAACCATGTACGTGTAGGGTCTTTTACTCCAGCAAGACCGATCTAATAGTTATCTCAAATGAGATTAATTGAACAATTTTTTAGTACTGCATATAAATTCTTACAATATAGTATTTGTTCATACATTCTCAACATATTATATCACAATAGTTGATGTTCTTACTAGCTAGAGTTCAAACTCGTGACCTATCGCGCGTTGTCCATGATTAATGCAAGAACTTCATGTCATAGGCCAAATTCAGACATAACCTCCTTTGTAACCACTTTAGATCGGAGTACTTCGTATTATAAATTCCGTGGTGAAATATCCACCCAAAGCGTCCCCACATCACAACCTGACAAAGTACTGAGCGCATAAGTCAATTATTATCTTAGTGTAGTCTTTGCGGAGATCGGCTCGGATCGGATGTGCTCAGTGCCCACAATGAACTATCATATTTTATAAAATGCTTACATTGTCGCTGTCAGAAATCAATCTTAAAATTTCAGACTTAACACGCCTCTCAGAAGCTCTTATATCTTTGTATGAGAGATTGAAAGGCTTTAAAGTTACACCAATCGTTAAACCAATTCTATTTATTGAAGCATTTACAGTGATATCTTCGTAAAATTGAATGTTCTTACTCCGAGAACTACTTATGGAGCAACATATGTGCCTCACTTAAATTGATATAGTCAAGAAACCAACTCAACCAACAATTCAAACTTGTGGCATGGTTTCAATTTAGAATCAATATCAAGAAAACACATAAACTTTAGAATAACTCTCCATCCAAGACTTTTATAACCAAGAAAATATTTTTCCAAACTTGATTACAAGAGATTACAAAACCCTTAGATTGATTGATGTCTTTATAGTCAAACCCAACTTGGTTGACAAGAAACATAATTAAATTTCTACTAGGTAAAGTAGTACCATTATATTCTTACTAAAAAACTAAAACCCCACATTGATGGCAATGAATTGTGGTATATGAATGATTTTTATATATACTCTAACATGTCTCACTGGATGACACTGAGTTTAGAACTCGTGACCACTTAATCATTAAAGTTCCGTTATCATGTTAAAATTCTGGTGAACCGAGAACAACATGCAGAGTGTTGAATAATATTAATCACTTGCATACAAATCGAGATTCTCTTTCTAATCTAAAAGCTTAAACTGATTAACTAAAATTTCATTCTTTTATATATGTTAATAACATTTCTGTTTTATTTTCTGATGCAAGAACACCAACAAATATAACAGCATTCAAGTAGTGTAACTATAACGTAATGCATTGGATTGATATATACTCCGTAGTGTGTTGGTGTGCCTAACACAGTCAGTACATTGAATGATTATTATTTATTGATGGGTGGGAATCGGATGCCCGATCCAGTCCAGTCCAGTCTAGCAAAAATGCGGACATTTGCCAGGTTGTAAGTTTGGTGTTTGGTGATCACATATATATATATATATATATATATATATATATATATATATATATATATATATATATATATATATATATATATATATATATATATGCGTACAAGTTATGAACATAACATATTTCGAGTGACATATGATAAGAATTAATTATACCAAGTTTAGTGTCCTATATGTGTTTGTCCTTATTCTTGTCAATCCAATAAAACTCTACTACCTCTTCCGTAGTAGTTTTTATGTAATTTTATAATATGATTTTTTTTTAGTTTTACTCCTACTTTGAAATAAAATGAAATGAAAATAAAGTCAGATAACGTTCGTAATCTGCAATAAATAATTCAAGTTCAGACAAAAAGAGTATGTCACAAGTTTTTTTTGTGACTCATAATGCTCCCTCAATTCAAAAATGACATATACACTTCACTAATTCGAGTTTGATGAAATAAATATTTTTGTAACTTCTTGTATATAGTAATTTTGATATATATATATTCCATACCAAATTTTAAATAAAATAAATTTAAAAAAATCAGAGTTATCCCTCATTTTTGCTTTCATGTAAGTCATTTTGGGACCAAAAAATTATCCCAGAGCACCTTCAATTCTCTAGTAAGAACTCACAGGTTCCATAATATCTGAAATACATCTTGGAGTCCTAAAAATTCATGAACAATTTAAAATTATGTCGATTTGGCCGTTAGGATTGAAAATTCCACTATTTTGACCAATCGAACACCAAAAAGTTTACTCTAAAATTTTTATGCTATTCATATTTTTAATTTTTAATACTTATATTATTTTAAGAAAAAAAAGTTTTTATTTTTCAGTTTAAGATATCGTGGTGTATATACACAAATTTTTAAGAAGAAAATATAATGATAACTTTAATTGATACTCCGAATTTTTAATACTTTTAATATTTTTATGCAGAACAAAAGTGCTAGTACTCCCTAAATTACCCTCTTAATTAAATTTTTGGAGTAACATAATTTTGTTTTTGAAAATTCTAAAGTAAAATCCCCATTTTTCGCGTGAATTATACTTAGAGTTCAAAAGTATTTCTATGATACACCTTGGATGCACGCCATTTTTGTAAATTCTCTCATATGATTTTATATATTTTTTTATTTAATGATGCTTATTTAAGTAATAAAGAAATACTTATTTTACTCATATGTATATCTATGGTGGACCTTAGGTCCACAATAGAATTTGCCCAATTTCAAATCCACATAGTTTATACTACCAAACAACATAATTGAAATTATTCTTTTCAATTATAATTTCATAATATTCTGTATAAATTATGTATACGAAACAGAACCTCACTTTTTTTGGAGGTTCTTTCATTTAAGCTCACACAACCCCATTCATTTAATATTTCTCCAACCCAAGATATACACCTAGCAAATGGGCTTTCTGTATCTTTCAAAAGTGATCATATTGCAATTCATTGGAGGTAAGTTTGGGCTGCCATGACATGATAATAGAGGTCCATATCAGAGGCCCGAGTAAATTTTAACCCACACCAAAAACTTACAGAGTATTAAAAAATTTGTTGGACAGTTAAATACTTGGCAAAAAATAATTTTAATCTAGGGTTCCTTCATACTCCTTCCGTTCCGGAGTATTCGTCAAGTTTTGACTTTTGGAACTGTTCATCTAAGCACTTTGACTCATCAAATTCTCTCAATGTGTAAGACTAAATATAGTCATGTGTAATCTTGTTTGATTTGTCTTAACATATAGATTATTAATATATAATTTCTATAATTTTTTAATATACAAATTATAAGATAAAATGGATTAAAGAAGTATATTGGATGGTGTGTAAAAATGAAAGTGGACAAATTTCTGAGACGGAGGTAGTATATGATACTCTCTAAAAGTTTCATGTATGATACTTGAACCTTAGGCTATGTTTTCCTCAACTTTTTTACTTATTATTTATTCTTATTAGAATAAGATCATATTAGACTAGATCAGATTAGAAATTACTTTAAATATAACTACGTTCAGATCAGACTATACCAGACCAGAATTTATTTCAATCAAATCAGAACCAATCAGATCAGGTGAAGAGACCATGACGTTATTCATCATAATCCACAATATAAAAAAATTGGAATGAAGAAAGTCAAGAAACCCAGAAAATAATCATAAAGAATGGTTGATATAATAATAATAATAATAATAATATAAATAATAATAATAGTAATAATAATAATAATAATAATAACAACAACAACAACAACAACAACAACAACAACAACAGCAACAACAACAACAACAACAACAACAACAACAACAATAAAAAGATTTATCATTTGTAATAAAATGATCTTAAACTCTAAAAGTTTAATATAACTAATTACCATTGAATCATTAAAATGGTAACCATACATATGGGGCTATCTTAAAATATGTCATGTTTGAAAATTAATTATTATAAGTGCAAGCAGGCATAGAGACAAAAGGTAAATGGGCAAAAACAGTGGAATACGGGGCAACATTAATGGGCTCTTCCGGGTCGACAACCCGAGGCTCCAACAAGGGTATTTTCCCGGATGGATCCAGGCCCAGTTCCTCCCCGTTCAGAAGGACTGTTTGGCTGTGCAAGTCCCCATTTTTTGCGCTCAGATGATACTCTTTTCTTCCGCCGCCGCCTCCTCCTCCTCCGCCGCCGTTGTACGCGACGTCCACCACCGCACCCGCCTTCCCGTCCAGGTTTATCAACACTATTGTTATGCCATCCTGCACAAAAAAATGTGAAAAAAGGCTTCATCAATAATAATGTTTGCAGTTTGCTAAACTAACCTAATCTGAATCTTATTTTTATTTAGGATCCGTTAATTACACGAAATTGACGGAATTTAAATTGAACTGATATTTGAAATTCTATGGAATTGATTTGGATAGAATTGAATTTTCCAAATCCAAATCATTTGTGGCACTACCAATTCCAAATTCACATATTTTTGTGCTACCAAACAGCAAAATTGAAATTATTGTCCCCAATTCAAATTCCATAATTTGAATTCCGTGTACCAAATGGAGTATTATCAAAATTTGATTTGATTCTAGTTAAATCTTGAACAGACTATTTCTAACCTGAAGACTAAAAATGTGTTCATTTATTATGTACTCCATTCGTGATTTTTAAGAAGAATTAGAAAAAGTAGAAGTTTACTAAAATATTTTTAATGAAGATATTTATGATATTTCAAATGTTAAAATAGAAATCATTCTAAATAGGATTAAAACATAGATAAAAGTACCAAAATAGGACTTTCATATTTTTTTTTCCCCAAAATAGGATTTTGCATTGTGGTAATTTTGCCATGTGGTAATGTGGCAGTGTAATGTGCAAATTACTATACGTTTTTGGTAATGTATATGAGTATGTATGGTAATGTAAGTCCTATTTCGAGAATAAAAACATGTAAGTCCTATTTTGGTATATTTTCAATGTTTTAGTCCTACTTTGGTCTTTCTCCCTAAACAAAAGTAACGAGAATATCTTTTCCGGACCGACAAAAATAGCATTTGGGAAAAAATATGATGGAACGGGTAGTAAATTTTTCGTTATAAAATTGTTAAAAAATGAAAAAAGAAATTGATTAAAAAAACAGAGATATATATATATATATATATATATATATATATAAATCTTGTTTTAAAGAAAATATTGGTTAGACTTACAGATGAGTTTTTGGCACAATGAGCATAAACACGCAATTTCTTTGTTCCAGAGAATTTGGTTTTCAACACATTTGTCCCCATCAATCTGTGCCACAAAAGAGCACTGCATGCAAAAGGAGAGGCCATATACATATAATAATTATATATCAAAGCAAATTAAAATATGTCAAGACTAATCAATAAAAAATGTGCATTAACAAGTGATTTGAAGGAAATTAGTTAATTAATTAAAGTTACTAACCTGTAGTAATCAGGGTTTGGTACAAAGGTTGTGGTATTAAGTAAACCATAGTTGCCACCAACTAGTGATTGCCGGCAGTATGTCTTTGTACCATAGGATGCAGACATCCCTAGCTGATCAAGATACCTTTTTTTTTGGCATTTTTTTGTTCAATCAAAGACAATAAGATTAAATAGTTTGCCTAATTACCCAAAAAACATGAAATTAATTAAAACACTTTTAGTACAAATCATTTCCACAAACTTAAACTTTCTATTACTCTGTAGTTTTTAAATTCGTGGAGTTCAGTTGACATTGAACCACATTATTATCATGACATCGGACACTTACAACACTTAATTTGTTGAGTGTGGGTACTTATCCAGACATTTTAGAATATCATCCTTTTAAGAATCTTTAAGTAATCATAAATTCGCACGAGCGCTTAGTTGAGTTTGTTTTTTTAAAAAAGTTAGATATACAGGTTATGTTTTCCTCAACTTATTCCGATTGGAATCAGATCGGGTCAAATCAATTCATAAGCAACTTTAAGTATACAACTATAACCAGATCAGACCAGATCAGATCTGAACCAATCAGATCAGGTGATCGAAGAGAACATGACCATAGTGGGAGGACGACAAGATCTTGACAAGGGAGAGGAATTTGAAATACCAGAAGCTGAAGACGAAGGCGTTGGTGACGCGGTCCCGGCCGCTGTTATAAGCGCCGCCGGCTTCGCCGACCCAAGCACTTGCAGAGGTGGCGGAGGAGCTCTTGAGGATGTGCTGCAGCTGACGAAAGGTACGGATTTGTTGATCCAGATATGAAGCATTGAGGATTTTCTCCACCAGGTGCTCATCATTTGCTATATTATTATTTGTCATTTTTAGCACATAAACAGATGACTAAGGCAGCGTTCCGTTCAACTTATTTTTTCTGCTTATTACTTATTTTTATTATAATCAGATCAGACCAGACCATATCAGATTAGATCACACCAGATCCAGATCAGATTAGATCACACCAGACCAGATCAGACCAGATTAGAAACACCTTTAATTATAACTGAAATTGACTAATATATTTAAATAAAGTCATTGCAATATATACTCTATCTATTTTGCATTGATATACTAAGTTACTTATATGAGTTATCTCTTTTTTTAGTCGATGCTAAAGATATAATTGAAAAGTCAAATTACGAAAATAAATCTGAGAGAACCTGGGCCAAGACTGTAAATGTGATGGGTGACCACATCCAAAGACTCTTGTGCTTCCTCTATAAACTCTTTGTACCATTTTGCATCAAAAAATCCTCCGGGTGATATGGCCAATGGCTTATAACTAACACTCTTGTATACATCTCCCAATATCTTCTTGAGATGAATTGTGTCAGAAACATATTGATCCGCTCCTACTCTTACACCGTCTCCGTCCCCGCTCAGCTCGTTCCCTGACGAGAAGAAAAAATAATAATTATTTGATCATTCTAAATGATATGCCGAGTTCCTTCTTCACTATCACATTCTACTCTTACACGTCACATCCAAGTGCAAAATTGAAAATTCAACTACAAAATATACTCTCATTTTTAGTACAAGTGCATGTGTCTTACTCTCTTCGTCCATAAATCTTCTTTTTCCTTTCCTTATTTGTCTGTTCTTAAATTTTCTTCATGTTTCTTTTTTAGCAAATATTTTTTTACTTTTCCTTAAGTTGCATATAAAGTCAAAGCGGGAAAAATGGACGAAAAAGGGGTAATAATTACTCCTATTGGGCGATTGGTTTTGGGATGAAATCTCACAAAACTTACCGAGCTCCCATCCGTGAATAGTGTAGCCTTTATTCACGGTGTAACGCATTAGAGATTCTGCATTGGTCGAATTCCAAGCTCCGTTTGCAAAGCCATGGGAATCGAACGTTCTTCCTTGGAGAGCATTCAAACCAAAAATAATAACCGCTCTGGATCCAAAAAATATATGTAGTGTTAGTCCCACACCAAAAAAAAAAACTTTAATAAAAAAAGGATGAGTCCCATCCCCGGGGCCTCCCTCTGACCCGACCAGACGGTCACTAAGAGAAAGTAAATTGAATTTTGATTGTATATTGGTGACAAAGAATGAAGCATGCACTTAGTACTTACAACGACCCTACAACTATATGTATGAGAGTCACATATATACATACCCTGATTTATTGAAGAAGTCATTCATTTCATCCCATTTGGACAATGGGAGACACCCTTTATTGAAACCATACAATGCTGACATGTTCTTCACAAATGGAATGCAACTTTTTCCTTCTTCTTTCTCTTCTTCTGTTTGGTAGATCACTTTATCTTGTAAAGTCCCACCCAAACGAATCTTTAAAGGCGAAAAAGCTGCAAAAAAATAAAAAATGAAAAATTATGGCATAATAATATAGTAGTGACTAATAATAATAATAATAATAATAATAATAATAATAATAATAATAATAATAATAAAGTTTGACAATATAAGGTTTCTTCAATCTCACCTTTAACTGCATTTAAAAGGATAGTATTGCTAAGGTTCTACATAAGGAAAAAAAGATGGATTAGCATTAAGTACTATACATAACCCAAATTAGGCTAATAAAGTAGTAAATTGTAGAGAGATTTAAAAAAAGAAGTAAATAGTCAAAAAAATAAGGGTGAATTAGTCTTTAAGCTCTAAAAAAGAAGGGTATTTTTATTTAATGAAATTGGATGAAAGGTATAAGGCTATCTTGAAAGAAAAATTGGGAAAAATAAAAGATATATAACAGAAAGAGTACCAGGTAAAGGAGAGAAGCGTGACCCCAAGAACACGTTCCGTAGTCACATTTATCGGGTGGCCACCAGTCCAAGGTGGCACATACGAAGTCGGTGTCGGTTACCCCGACGGGTGTTTTCCCACTTATGTGCACAGTCCCTATGGAACCACAACACCAAGAAATGAAGCTCAGGCTTAGGATGCAAACCACCCATCCAAACACAACCTTAGGCAAATTCCAAGAATTGTGAGCCATTTTTTGGATAGTAGTACTACTAGACATGCATGAGACTCTCTACTATGAGATGATAAGAGTGCCAAGTATTTATACTGGTGAAATGCCATAGTTACAAACTAAATGCTACTCCCTCCGTCCTAAATTACGGTCTCAAATTAAATTGCATGTTTACTATTTACAGGGTCAAACTTTATTCAATTTTTTCTCTTTTTTCGTTAGTCATTTGATAAAATAAAATAGTCATGTCACTACTAGTTTTGTAGATTTTTTGATGTAGTCTTTTAATATGTAATTTTTATTTTTAAATTCTACACAATTTTTCATATAAAATGATTTGAAAATAATTTCTGTCAAACATGAAAAGGAGGGAGTAACAAAAATCAAAATATTGATAAATTTTTTTATATCAATATCTAATATTACTTTTATATACCCTGTAATTTTGAATCAAAATTTTTTCAATTCTGACGGATAAAATAAAGTAAAATTTGCACTAAATAGGACTAAAACATAATGACTTTCTTAATGTAGGACTTAAACTTTTTTATTCCATAAATATGACTTAATAATGACCTAGTGGAAAGAATAATGTCCAGCAATGATGCACATTTAGTTGAATAATGACTTCGTGATAATGACCAAAGGTCCTACATTGGGAAATAAAAACATATGGTCCTATATCGGGAAAGCCATTATGTTTTAGTCCTATTTAGGTAAATTTCTCAAAAATAAAAAATAAAGAAATATTTAAGGATGCAGAAAATCTATATTCATAAATGGTAAGTTGGTGATTTTTGTAAGCACTCTCGGCATTTATCCCGGGCCGGGGCTTGGAAAATTATGTACCTAAAAATCATAAAGTTGACTTTTGAAGTATATTTAGGAGTTGTTGTTAATTCCTTTGTCTGATATAGTGGTATCTTTGTTTTCATTTCATTTTTCTCCGTTAATATTTATAAACTTTGATTATATATACGTGAAAAAATAAATTCAATTGAGATTTGAATTAATTAAAATTAATATATTTATTTAGGAACACAGATTATAAAAATATCATATCTTTATGATTAAAGTGTTGCACGGGAAACCGTGTGAGAAATAAAATAAAAAGAAATATAACAGACAAAGGGATTAGTAAGTTTTCTTTTAATGGTTAAAGATTACGGAGTATATTTTAAGTAGGGAGTAATCCTTAATAACTTAATTAATTAAGGGCAATGAACTTATGGCCGGGAGGATGGACATTTAATTAGTGATCTTTGAGTAGGGGCTTGTTTGGGAATAGCGTTAGAGATTAGCGTTAGCGTTTTGGATAAAATTTTAACGATGCAGATTACTTTGAAAATGCTAATGTTAAACGCTGCCCGTAGATAGCCTTTTCAAAACGCTAACACTAATCGCTAACGCTATTCCCAAACACGCTCTAGGTGTTTATTTACACTTCTTATGTACCATTGGCCACTCGTGCGGTTAGATTTGAAAAATCGGAGAAGCATTTAATAATAATAATAATAATAATAATAATAATAATAATAATAATAACAACAACAATAACAACAATAAGAGAACATTATCCTAAATGGGACTAAAAATGGAATAGATATTTTTTAAATTTACACAAAAAGGACTAATTTATTTGGTCCTATTATGGTGAATCTCGGATTTTCAAATCGATTTTAATCTTTTTTTATAATTGTTGAACCATTTGTTGTCTTAAGGGCTAGTGCATATTGCCTTCACAATTGGACAGTAATGTTGATTTTCACTGCATATTGTCTTTGTGATTATATATATTGTGTAGTAATGCCAATTTTCAGTGCATATTTTCTTTGCAATTAGGTAGTAATGCTGGTTTTCAGTGCATATCGTTTTCGCGACTAGACAATAATGTTGGTTTTCGGTAATGACAATACAATCTTTAAATCAATGTTTTAGCATCGTACGTGAAGCGGGTCCAAGTTACGTAAAATTACCTTGTATTTTTTGGGTCATATCCATGTAATAATAACAATAATAACAAAAACAATAATAATTATGATAATAATAATAGTAACAATAAAAAAATTGTTTGAACCAGAAATATTACAAGATAATATTTGTTCATACTATTTTTAACCTAATGACGCAGAAAGAGTTAACGCTTCGTTTTCGTTGGGGCTTGAGCCTGGGTGAGTTTTTCCATGAATTCTAGGGTGTGGACTTGTTACCACTCAACGTCACTGTATTTGTAGCCCAAATTGATAATAAATAAAAAACATCAACTGAATTGTGATCCAAACAAGTCGTTCACCAAAGATTTGTCAATATATTTCTCGGACTTCCTTTTTTTTGTTGAGGAAATAGTGAAGATAGAGTTGAAAAGGGGATGAAGATTTTTGCTGAACAAAAGAATTTATTTGGACATTTTTAACGGAAGCAGACGCAGAAAGATAAATGGGACCGTAACCAAATCTTGCAACGTGATGATATGTTTGTTGCAGTTTTTGAGTTATCCGCAGGCAAAGTTATCTCATGTTTGGTTATGACATCATATCTACAACTCCCTCTCATCTGTTTATTGAACGTAATATCAAAATCTTTTTTCACTGATCATTTCGTCGGATCTGAAAGAGTGTTCAGAGATAAGATTTATCCTTGAAATATGAATATCAAGAGAAAATATTGTTTCTTACCCATGAAATGCAGTTATCTAGTCTCAAACATATTATTCTTATTATATTATGATGTTCGTATTTTCATAATATTCAACTTAAGATATTTTAGATGTAACATCTACTCCCTCTGCATCGTTTTAAATTGTCCGTTTTGACTTTGGAACATATTTAAGAAAGAGAAAAAATAGAGTTGACTTTCCGAAATTGTCATTACTTTTTAAGAGAGGTGACGATGAGTGAGAAGATAAGGTGGAGAAAGTGACTTATTTTAAGGGTAGTTTAGGTATTTTTCTCTTAAAAGTTTATGATAACAAGAAACATGCAATTTATTTTGGAACGGAGAAAAAGGAAAACAGACAATTTAAAATGGGATAGAGGGAGTACATTTGTAACAGTGTCATAATCAAAACGTCGTAGTTCTAAGCTATGTTTAGATACACAATTAAACTTAAAATTTAAACCTTAATATTTAAAATTAAAAACAAAAAAATTTAATTTTAAATTTTTATATTTTAATTTTTAAAATTAAAATTTTGAATTTTGAATAAAAAAAATAATAATTAAAATTTAAAATTTAAACATAAATTTTAAAACTTAAAAATTAAAAAATCTAATTTAAACTTAGTTTTTAAATTATACATTAAAAAATTAAAAACTATTATTTTAAAATTAAAATTTAAAAATTCCACCAACACATCCTACCGGTGAAACTGGCTAAACTTTTAGTCATCCGGAACAGCTAACACAAACAACTAACAATTAACAACCGAAAGCCTATCATACAATTCCAAATTCAATTTTATATATACAATTTTATATTATCAAAAAAAGATTTAGATTTATAATATAATTCTATATCAATTCTTTAGTTATATCGAACACAGGGTTCAGGATTAAATTAGAATCAACTTCATCCAGTTCAATTTCATAGAAGTTCAATTCTAATTCCGTGTAACAAATAGAGCTTAACTTTTCAAATTTGTTAAGACTCATTTTTTCAGAGGCTAATGATCTATACTTTTGATCATTTCAATAATATTTTTTTAAAATGCATAAAAATATTTTACAATAATCAAAATTTTACATTACTGATCACTAAAAGTCAAATTTTAGCACTAATTTCAAAATATAATTATCCCATTCAAAATATAGGACCTAAAATACATTTAACAACCGGCCTTGTGCATTACTATAACTCTAAACATGTGAGTTGTGAAAATGTGAAATTTATCTTAAAAATATTCACTTCCTCTCGACTTCGAAATCCATTTTTACCGGGGCCAAAATAAAGAAAGTAAAAGCTGTAAGAGAAATATTACAGTATGAAACATGCATTCTTTTTATGAAAATGAAAAACAAAAAACAATCCCGGGACATGAGAATATTAAATTTTATTAAAGCTAGAAATCATTATAAAGTTCATAAAATTGAAAATGTCACACTATTTGGTTTAGATATACTTTCAATACACTTGTGTCAAGCCTACTTGTTTCTTCATAGTGCCAAGCTGCTGTTTGTTTACAAAATGAAGCTAAGGCAGGGAAACAAAGATCAACATCTCTCAATATGTACAATGCTTCCTGTTCAGACACCACCATGTTTGGTTTCAGGAGACAGGACACAAGATTCAGCGAAGAACCTTGGAATAAGAACAGCCTTTCGTCACACAGTCCATCCAGCACGATATCATCCCAACAAGCCCAGACTCCCTCGGATGCGAAATGTCAGTCTCTCGCCTCTGCAACACTCTGAGGAACTCGTCCGAGCTCAGAATCCCATCACGGTTCGTGTCGAACACGTAAAATATCAGGTTGACCATGTTTTCAGTGAGAGATATGCCACAAACCTGCTTGGCTGCTCTCTTGAAGTCATCCTTTGTGAGCAGACCGTTCACCGACTTTCCATAACTAAAGATGGCGAGGGTAAACGGGTGCAATTTGTTTCTCAGCTCAGCAAAGCTCTTGAACTCGTCGAAAGAAAAGCGTGCGTCTTTAAGATGTGTCGCGCTGGTCAGCTCTTCGACGCGATCAAGAAACTTGTCGATGTGGCTCATGTCTGCTGATACGACCATTGATAATGCAAAGTCTTTAGCAGAGATGCTTCCCCGTGAACCATAATCGTAGTGTTCAAATTCCAACCTCAAAATCTGGGACACACAAAAAAGGAGGAAAACACTTGAATGCGATACTCAGGGGGTTCTCTTGACACTGGCTCAATGTAATAATATGATATTGGGTCCCTTTGAAGCCCCTAAGGTGCTCTGTCCGACCCGAAGTGGTTCTTACCCTCCTAACCCCCCTAGCCCACCCTTTGCTCCCCGCCCAAAGGGCTTGTCACCCGTTGGAAGGGGATGGGGATAGGCTAGGGGAGGCTTGACTGGGGTCACATGGGTATGGCCTGCTTCGGAGTCGAACTGAGCACCGGCCTCAAAAGGATCCATTGTCATAATATGACACTGGGATCCAGAATTAAAAGAACCATGGGGTACAATCCTAGAAGATTTCTGCCCAACTGTTAGCACAAAAATGAAAAAAAAGGCGTGTAAAATAGTGATACTTCGTTGTGTAAATCTCTCAAGAACTGGACAAATTTTTCGTGATCAAGGTGGGCATTTCCGTCTTTTCCAAAGAAGTACTCGAGCAAAGCAGCATCTTCCACAGAACCAGAAACATGCAATCCAATTCGCTTCCCATCTCGGTGGTGGGCACCTTGACGGTTTTGATTTCGCATCAGTGACATCACTTTCTTGAACTCCTCCTTGTCTATTCCTCTGTTCAGAAGACCATTTCTTATAAACCTATGTGTCTTTCTTTAATACTCTGTATTTTAATCAGAGACTCAAGCACACTGAAACCATCTACAGATATAGACTTTGAAGCAAACCACTACTAAACATTGATGCAAATGACGCAAACTCGAACACTTACCCATCATTGTCGGTGTCAAACATACGAAATGCTATCGAGAAGCTTGACTCGGGGATGCTGAGGAGTGTAACAAAAAAGATATACCTGTTGCAAGCAGACTGAAATTGATTCAAGGAGATCAAATCCTCATTTGGGGAGGAAATAGTTGGAAAAGTACTAACTCTGGAAACGATATAAGACCGTCATTGTTGGTATCAAAAAGCATAAAAAACTTCGAAGGAGCACAATGCAGCTCACAATTAACCAGTTCCCCTTTCAGTTTTCCAGCTCTAACCACAGGCGCTTCAGAAGGAGGAAAAACAGGAACAACCGCCCGCATTAGATCTGCTGGGGTCATATACGCTTCTCCCGCAGGTGTCCGGAAAGATGCAAAGTACTCAAACACCTATTGGTTTAAAAACATCATAATTTAGTAAAGGATACCCTTGGTGCATCAGCATCCTGCTCAATGAGGGTCCCACCACAAGAGTGTAGCATAAATAAACCTTGGAAATTTTGAAAGATAACTACGGAGGACAATGAATGTAGGTATAAGAAATGCCTATACCTTAACCATTTCATAACTAGTTAAATGGCATACCTTTTCAGGAGGACTACGCATCCTCAACCGTTTTTCATATTTGAAGAACACCTTTTTCCTATATGTATCTGAAACGAGAGGAGCATTAAAATATTATTTATTGTTTCCAAAATGTCTAGAGCTAGACATTATGCTTGACATTGGGGAGAAAAAGTCGTGAAATAACACAGAAAAAATTAGAAAGGAAGAGACAATAAAGATGATTAATACTCCGTATCCACTTATTACATAGTACGAAGTATATGATATCACTATGTTTTTCCTATATTACCATGTTCTGCCTTATTGCATCTTTTTATGACACAGGAAAGATTTGCCAGATTATGGAATTTTTTTAAAAAAGGAAAGAGTAAAAAATTTTGAAAAATCTCAAAAGTCCCGTTGAATAACTTGTATTTTGGGGTTGCCAAACCAATTTTCTTATACGGCTTAAAAGCGTGCATCTGCAGGCATTACCCCTCCGGCCCTCCCAAAACAACATTTTCTTCTAAGCCTTTCAACCAATTGATACATCCTCCAAGAGCAGCTTTGGTAAAAACCCGAGCAGTTTCTTGTGAAATTTCTTTGGAGACGAAACTTTTAGCATTAAGAAATGCTTTTGTTAGTCCCAATAACCAGAAGGTCATAAAAAATGCAATAAGCACAATGAGTGAATTGTGATAGAATTTAAGATGGAGTATGGATCATTGGAATGGGAAATAAGACACTTGAGCGGGACCAAATTAAAAGATTGAATCTAATCGATTAGTTAGTTCAACTCAAGAGCTTATATACCGATTGTTTCACTTTTGGACTTCCGATGTGGGATTCACTCTAACAAATTGACATCACCAAAATCACTAACATTAACATGTGAAAGGCATAGCGAAACTGTGTCAAAGTTGTAATCCAATCCAGAACATTCCTACCTTGTAAAACCATCCCCATTATTCCATGAAATTCTTAAGCTTGTATGAAAAATATCACGAGACGCCTAGACAGCACTGAATTTAAGATACAGTTACACAAAAATTTACCTTTGAAGATAAACATAGGCTTATTCTCATGCTGGTACGATGCCCCATTTCCAGAATCAGCAAAAGCAACAGGAGAATCCTTCTGAGATAACGAGTAATGACAAATTAAACCCGCAGCACTTGAGCAGGCAACAACGGGGAGAAGCGGCGATCTGAGGAACGAATCGACGAACTTCCCGCCCTTTTTCCTCTCGTCGCGGTAATGGAACCTCCGGCCGCCGTCCGATCGCGACGAGATGGATCTGGATTTCGAGCAGATCAAACGAGGGCTGAGATTGTGGGGCTTTCTCAGAAAATTACAGAACGAGCGATTCATAGTAGGAGAGTGATGAGTTTGATGCTGCGACGATGGAAGGATTCTGCTGGCTGATCCATACGGAGGAAGAAGAAGAAGAAGAAGAAGAAGAAGATAAGGTACGGATAAATTTGACCGAGAAAACCGGAAGAGAGCGTTGATTCGCTTTTCATGTTCTTTATTCCGGAGTAGTTTTAATTTTTAAATGATGGATAATCATTAGTAAAATTAGTTAATGATTAAAGTGCGAGTTCCTAATTTTTTGTACATATACTCCGTATTTAGCACTAACGGACTAACCTATATATACTCCAACATTTATATCCTAATTTGTACCCCGCAAGTTTACACCAACATTTTGTGTTGACGTAAAACTAAATTTTATTAATGCACCAATACTTTGTGCCTGTATAAATTTTTGTTAACGAACCAACACTTGTGTCGGTGTAAACCATCAAAATGTTTGTGCATAACTGTGGTGTATAAATGGGGTACATTTTTTGGTGTAAGTGTAGCATGGTCCATATATATAACTTTTGAAAATGATACTAATGACAATATTTCATTTCTATCTACTTATTTTTAGATTTAGAGTTTGTTTGGAAATAGCGTTAGAGATTAACGTCGATGTTTTGAGAAAGATATCTACGGGGAGCATTTAGCGTTAATGTTTTCAAAGTAATTTACACCGTTAAAATGTTATCCAAAAAAGGAAAAGAGGAAAAAGGAAATTACCTATACTAGCAAAACATTATTAGATTTTTCCCTGAATAAGAATTTGCTAAATTTTTGAATACTTTTAAAGTCTCAATACCTGAATGGCAACAACTTAGAGAACGATATCGTAGCCCAACGGCCCGTACATGGCTTGCAACAACGGGACACCTACTACGAGTAGGGGTGTATACGAATCGAAGCAAATGTACCACTATTCGATTCGTATTCGATTAAAGTGATATGTATTCGAATTCGGATTCGTATATAATTCGAATTTTAAAAAACATTCGTATTCGATTCGATATATATTTGACGTATTTGAATTCGTATTCGAATATTCAAATTCGAAAATATTAGTAATTTTTTTTCTTAAAACAGATTTCTTAAAGACATTAAATTATTATTTTATAATAATGTAAAATGTAGTAAAAATATGTTAGAATATATATAAATTTATTTATAAATTATAATATTCGAATATATATAAATTTATATGTACACAAAAATTTAATATATTAAAATATGTTAAAATATGTACACAAATATTTAATATATTAGAATATATATATATATATATATATAAATTTATTTATAAATTATAATATTCGAATAATTTGAATAATAAACGAATCGAATCTACTAATATTTTTATTCGAATTCGAAAATAATTCGAATCTAAAATATGATTTGTATTCGGATTCGAATTCGAATATAGCGAATACAAATCATTCTTTTCGAATACGAATCACGAATCGAATACATTTTATTTGATTTGTGTGCATCCCTAACTACGAGGGTGTTCATGGAAGACAATGAGAAGGTCGTGAGGGACCAATCGCGGCCTCCTTTTTTTGGCAAAGTTGGCCCACAGGGCAAGGGCGACAATGACCGTCGATTTCGTGACAATATCTGAGGCAAGGAAGGGATAGTTCATCCTGTAAGGATGGACCTGAGAGAGGAAATAGAAGCTAAAGAATGGGAAGACGAAGAAACAATTGAATCGGTTTATCGCGTCGCAATGGTCCGGTTTCAAAATGTGCCACCACCGAATCGAACCGTAACCTAAGACCGTCATTATGCCAATCAAAGTAGGGTTCTTTTATAATCTTCTCAAAAATCAAAATAAGACCTTAGGCTGTTATGCACAAATCTTTAAACAAAAAAAAAAGAAATCAGCAAAGAAAATATGTATTTTACTAATAGACTAATACAGAGCACATAGCTTAAGTAACACTGCAACAATAATTCATCACTATAATTTTACCATAGGAATTGAAGTGATTCATTCCAATGCTGTAAAAATACAAAGCACAAATCCATAGTATATAAACATGATGTTCATGATGACCAAACAACACACTCTTAATTTTCACTCCACTGTAATAAAAAGAGAGGGAGCTAGCAATGGGATCAGCAACCACACAGTAAAAACTCAAAAAAATAAAAAACCAGTCTTTGTTCAAGAAACATCAAAGATTTGAGCTTTGTTGCAGCCTGAACGAGCCACCGGAGTAAAGCATTTGGTACACCGGCCTTATCCTAACCGTCAAGAGAACACTAAGAAGGCAACCCGCGGAGCAAAGTCCCGCCAAAACTAGGAACGTTACCCTAAAGCAGTTGGGGCCAATGCAGGTGTCGCTGTGCTGCTTCGCAGCCTCGTCATCGTACAGGTACCCAGCGAGAAGGCCAGAGAAGAGATAGGCGCCGAGAGGGTTCCCTATTGCCAGGAAATTGATGATCAGCCCGAAATGCTTCAGCCCGAAGAGCTCCGAGGTTGTGGGCCCCCCCACGGCGAAATGGACCCCGAAGCACACCCCGAGGAGAGCTGTTGCGGCGTAGAGGGTCCCATCGAGCGCGGAGGCAAAGAGAAGGTATGTGAATGTCATCACTGCTTGCGTGCATGTGAGCCAAAACGTTCTAGGAAGCGCCTTTGACCTACAAGAACAATACAACAACAACAAACCCACTAAAATCCCACAAAAAGTAGGGTCTCAAAAGGGTGTGTGTAGGCAGATCTTACCCCTACCCCTAGACCATAGTACCGGTCTCCGAGACAAAATAGAGATAAGAATAGAGCAAAATTTCAATGTATAGCCGCGGGGCTCAAACCTAAAAGGTCGAGGACGAGTACCCTAAAGCAATGTATGTTGGTTTATGTTTTACATTTTGTGATGAGTTGTAATGGCTTAACATGCCTTACAAAATGGCAAAAGATTCGAGCATATGATCCGTGTGTTCACTTTTCAAGGTTATCAAAACTACAACAATAACAAACCCAATAAAGTCCCACAAGATGTAGGGATTGGAGAGGGTTACCCCTACTTGACAGTAAAGACACTGTTTCCAAGAGATCTCTGGCTCAAACACATAAGCACAGGGAAATGCACAAACAAAGTAATATATAAGCACCATAACACGAACAAAGTAAAAAAAAATGTCTCATTTTAGAAGAAACATTACAAAGAAGCGCTTGTTAAGAAACATTACAAACCTGACAAAATGTTCAGAGACGACGCCACCACCAAGACGGCCAACAAAATTACAAAAGCTGAATAGAGATAGAAGGATTGTAGTGTCTTGAACGCCTTGCGCAATCCCTATTTGCGCAAGGTTGTTGAGCACCGTGACCCCAGAGCCAACACCGACGAAACAGACCAGAAACAAGCACCAGAAGTCGGCCTTGACAAGGGCTTCTCTGAACCTAAAGTCTTCCCCTCTTCTAGGCCTCCTCTTTTCCTTTATTGCCCCTCTACCCTCTGCAAGAAGCATGTCCACTTCAGATATCCCCTCGCTCTCATTGAAGCTTCCCAAGTTAGCAGCTGATGAGGATGAAGACACCAACAAAGGCTCTATTGTTGTCTCTTCAACACCATTATCTCGATCCGCAACTTTCGATGACTTGCTAAGAATTGATGGATATATAGTCATTTTTATAGGAACCACTAGCGGGGCCGACATAAGAAGCACCATGATGACAAGGATGACATAAGAAAGAGAAAAACCAAGCGGGAATATATCTTCCAAGATTGTTGCAATGAGAACATATACACCAAGAACGGCACTAGCAGCTTGGATGAACAAAAAGTGGGAATCCTCGGTAGGGTCGTCACCTGAAGCGGGAGTACATGGGCGAACAAAGAACAACATGAGAAGACATATAGCAGGAACTCCAGCAGCAAGGAACATCAAGAGGCTGGAAGAAGAACCATGAAGCAATACAGTGTACACTTCAGTGAACACTGCAGCACTGAGTCCTCCATAGCCCATAAGAATGCCGGAAACGGTGCCGCGATTCAGAGGGAAGTTTCTCATGTTGGTCACAATCAAAGCAGTGCCGAACCAAGCACCGCTGTTTGTGGCCACAACAATGGCTATCCACAACTGCCAATGATCAGAACAAGTACATATAACTTTGCTCTCAGTTATAAAACAAAAAGTGAAATGAGATTCACAAACAAAAAAAGACAGTTCACTGTCTATCAATATGTCAAAAATGAAGAAAAACAACCAATAGAATAAAGATTATATTTTTAAAACAGTGACCAAAGAATGATAGACAAATTCTCTATCTTCCCAATTTTACCCATCCTTCTTTTGCTCAAGAAATCAAGTCACTATATCAACCAGAGATTCCAAAATGCAAATATGAAACTACCAACCACCTAAAGATCAGATTTTTAATGCACACACAGATGTAAAAGGAAAATCTCACAGACAAATTCTCCATTTCCTAGTTGACAGATCCTTCTTTACTTCTAGTCCGTGAAACTTCGAGTCTTTGACAAGCTTGTACTTATGGTTCAGTTTGGATGAAGGGTTTCAGAGGAGAATGTTTATCTTGGTATATATATAATCGCCTATCATCATATTCTTTCAAAAATTTAAAATTAAAAATCTCAAATACTCCATGCATATCAAGAAATAGGATAAATCCTCCAAAACCCTCCATCCAAACTGAGAGCCTCAAAAATCAAGTGTCTCTATTGACTATTTCCCAATCAATCAGTCAAAGAGAAAGAGACGAGACAAAATAAGATGAATTTACCAGCCAATAAGGCAAATTTGCAACAGTACCACTAACAGAGAGCCAGAGGGTTCCATAGCCAAGAAAACAAGCAAAAACACCAATGAGGAGGACAACCCAAGGAGGGAACTTGTTGCAGACAAAGCCAGGAAGGAGCCCAATGTTCTCCCCAATGTCATTGGCAACCCCAAGCATGGTCAGCTGCTGCTGATTCAAACCCAGAGCTGATTTTAGGGTGTGGGAATAGAGTGGAAAGTTGTTCCCATTTCCTGCTGCGATTTGGAGCCATACTGAAGCTCCCAGAGCCACCCATGGCGGTCTTGTCCCCACCTTCAAGTTCATGTTCACCATTCTTCAACTTCTGAAGAATCAAGTGGAGAACGCTTGGAGAGGAAAGGAGAATAAATCTGTGTTCGATCTCTTGGAGGAATGATAGAAGCACTGAAAAAAAGGGGGTGGGTGAGAAAAGGTCGAACTAATGAGTAATGACACCAAAAAGGTTTGGTTTTTGAGAAGTTATTGAAGAATAAGTATTTCGA